GGAACTGACTCTATGAAAGGTGTGAGAACCTCCGGTTTATTTGAGCAAGGTGGTTATCTCATATAGGACATTTTGTGGGAGAAATAATAATATTTGTGAAATAATTTGTAAATCTGTGAATGAATTCAGATGGGAATGTGTATGGTTAGGTAATTTCTTAATTTTTGCAATGCATGTAAACAGATTATGTTGTCTTGATTTTAACCCATGTATACAATATGTTGAAAAGTTAAAGTGTGACCCATTAAGGTATTAAATATTAATATGGATAAATATGTATACTATTGGACAAGTAAATTTAAAAAGGACTGTGGAGTAAGCTCTTACCTTGAAAAGTTTTGTTTGATAGACTGACATGTTCAGCAATCCAGTGATTTTGGTTGGTAAATTTGATAAAATGAATTCAAATATATTATAAATGTGGGGTTTTATCATTTGTTTGTGAAGAACAAAGCATTGAAGAAAAATCATGAATAATATACATGTAGTTATAAGTGTGCAGTTATAACTGAAGATGGGACAGGTAATTATGACAAGTAACGCTTGTCATTTCCTAACCTATCTAACAATCTTAATAGGTTATAGGAAGTTTCTTATATTCCATGACTATCATGACCATTAACTTCCTCATGGCTAATGGTATGACATACCTATGATGCAGCTTCAAAAAACAAAAACACTTTTGAGAAGTATTTCATTGTTAAAATGAATAACAATGTCATGTACTGTGTGCTCAATCACAACAATTAAGCAAAATTCTGTATGTTTTCTGTGGAAATAACATTCATTTCATTCTATACAATATTTTAAATGCATACCATTCTAACGCTGATTTCTTCAAAACTTATGTATTAAAGAACAATGAAAATAGAACAAGAACAAGAAATTTATTCAGTATCAGAGGTCACATGGCCAAGAGTACAAAGCATTGGATCACCCATGTGCACAAGGACAGGTGGGACAAATAATGTTATTCCATCTTAATGCAGTGAAAATGTATAGCCTTTAAGCTATTAGTGTTGGGAATTGGTTGAAATCTCACAATTGATGATTGCTTCATTACCAACGAACAATCATCGAAAAATTAGTTAGCATCATTTTTCAGATTTTCCTATCCAGGTTGTTATTGCAGATATGTATAAGATGATGCAACTTGCTACTTTAAAGTAATGACTAATATATCATGAACATAAACTTCCTGGAGTCTTCAAGAAATATTCAGTCATGACTTTTCAGTTAGTGAAGTGATTTTTCTAAGAATTAAACCAGTTTGCAGGCCCCGACAACTTCGAAGATATGTTCCATCGTCAAGTGTTTCAAAGACTAAAACAGCAGTTCCAAAATCGTTTGTGTTCGATTATGAGAAAATGTGATCGATTGCTTGGTCGTTCAGTCACTGCGACCAATATTCGATTATTTCAATTAATCGAAACACCACTATAAGCTATGGCATGTTTTCGTATATAATGCACATAATAATTAATGAAACAGTAGTAGACCAGCATTTGTGTATGTATTGCTTACTATATTTAAGATTCTTTTTTTGTCAGATACCCTACAAAAGGCTAAATATGTTTTGGTATGACATGAAGCAGCATAGGGGCACATGTTACTGATATTGAAATTAGGACAAAACCATGTATAAATATCTTAAGATATTCGGTAAAAGTGTAGGACCTGGATGTGATTTTAATTGTTTCTCTTACACCAAGAACTCTATAAATTGTGAAAGAATAGTAATAATGAGTAGTTTGGACTGCTTGCTATTCTTCAATAAAATATTTGTTATGCAGATCAGGAGCAGGTATGTGGAAGTATATGGGATATCCAACTTATATCCAGTGCAAATCATCAACCATAGGAATGTTCAGTAATAGACGGTAGAATAATGCCTATTAATGAGTTCAGTCATAGAAATACGTATATATTAGCACGTATATATGTCTAAAGTGAAATGGTGTGTCATCTTGCGCTTATGATTAAGGCACTTAAGAAGAAGAGCGAGCAAGTGAGTGAGTACGGTTTTATGCCTTTTAGCAATATTCCAGCAATATTCCAGCAATATCACAGCGAACCCAGGTCTTTGGCGCCTTAACCACTAGGCTACCCCACCTCGCCAGAACAAGAAGAAGAAATTATTTTCTCAAAGTGTCACATGCTGTGGTACAAAATGTATAGACATATTATGATGCATTGAAAAGAGAACCAGGCCAGTTGGCCTACGAGACACTAATTACTTGATGGTACAAATAAAATATAAAAGTGAATTAGATAGTTATAACCACACACACACACACACACAGACAGAGAGAGAGACACACACACACAGACAGAGAGAGAGAGAGTAGGTAGGTTGTGTCAAACACCATAAATGTTTTAAGCAGCTATGAAGATATATGTGACCTGCATCTGCATGCATAATGCAGCATATCCAATACAACAAAAGAAAACATTCTCTTCCCCGCCCCAACCCATCCCACACCCAAGTCATGGGGTCATTTTGTAAATATTTCACTCTCTCCGACTTGTTAAGTTATAATAAACCCATGCCATGCCGACATTATCTTATTCTCATCTATTTTTGCAATTCTTTTGCTCAGTTTCTACATTCAAATTTCGGGCTAGTGAATTATTTTGTGGGCTAGTAGCTTTCAGGCATAGGTAGCATGGCATGGGTAACAACATTTGGAAACTAGTTCGCACACTGACTTGTAATATATTAAACATGCTATGCACACCCTCCCTCACCTTTCAGTCTGAATGAATAGAACATAGCCGGTGTACAACCTCCCTCGTCTTTCATTCTGTGTGGGTTAGTTTTATATCCAATATACCCTTCTCATCTTTCTTTCTGTGTGGCTTAGTTTTTTTATCCGATATACCCTTCCCGTCTTTCATTCTGTGGGGGTTAGTTTTATATCCGATATACCCTTCTCGCCTTTTATTTTGTATGGTGTAAGTTATATATCCGATAGACCTTTCCCGCCTTTCATTCTGTGAGGTGTAACTTATATATCCGATATACCCTTCCCGCCTTTCATTCTGTGGGGTTAGTTTTATATCCAATATACCCTTCCCGTCTTTCATTCTGTGTGGCTTAGTTGTATATCCGATATATCCTTTCCGTCTTTCATTCTGTGAGGGTTAGTTTTTTTTGTCCGATATACACTTCCCGCCTTTCATTCTGTGGGGGTTAGTTTAATATCCGATATACCCTTCCCGCCTTTCATTCTGTGTGGTGTAAGTTATATATCCGATATATGCCCTTCCCGCCTTTCATTCTGTGAGGTGTAAGTTATATATCCGATATACCCTTCCTGCCTTTCATTCTGTGTGGTGTAAGTTATATATCTGATATATACCCTTCCCGCCTTTCATTCTGTGATGTGTAAGTTATATATCCGATATACCCTTCCCGCCTTTTATTCTGTATGTGTAAGTTATATATCTGATAGATCCTTCCTGGCTTGCATTCTGTGAGGTGTAAGTTATATATCCAATATACCCTTCCCACCTTTTATTCTGTATGGTGTAAGTTATATATCCGATAGACCCTTCCCGGCTTTCATTCTGTGAGGTATAAGTTATATATCAATATACCCTTCCCGACTTTCATTCTGTGTGATGTCGTTTGATGACAATCAATGACTGTTTACCAACAACATCGCACACCTGTAATACTGCTGAAACAAATACATGCTCATGATATAGTCAAAATTGTACAATCGACTCTGCTTTTAGTAGAGATTACTTATGGACGTGGAAAGGGTTTGGCTGCTTCTATTTATATATCCGATATACGCCCTTCCCGTCTTTCATTCTCTGTGATGGAAGTTATATATCCGACACATACCCTCCTTGCCTTTCAGCCTGAATGATATTACAATATTTTGTTTTCAACACTTTTATCTAAGGGATAGTTCATTATTCATGGGGTGTGATACTGATCTTTATGGAGAAGCATGTGCAACGTGAATGACCCACCCCTCTTACAATTTATGTACAAAGTAAGTGACATCCCCCATGCAGCATGTAATGTACAAAATCAATGGGCCCACCTCGGCCCCCACTAAACCCATAATGTTTAAGCATCGTTTTTAAATTTTGTCACTTACAAAATTGCTCACCCACCCACACACACACACCACCCCTAGTATATGTGTACAAAATTGATGTCCCCCCTACCTCCCTAGAACAAAATGGGTGACACCCCTAAAATCATTATCACCCCCCACACCCCCAGCCATAAATTATGAACGGTCCCAAATGTGATTTGTTTAGTTTCAGCTTTGAGCCATACCCAATACAGCTGAACTATGCAACCAATTTAAAGTAAAGGATCATGTATAAACGCAGCAAATTGGGTCACGAACACCTGAATACTGAAACAGTTACAAAGCTAATTACGACAAAAATCAGAATTATTTCAGAACACAAAGTAGTGTTGGAACTATTTCATTTAACATGGCCGATTATATGATATTTATTACGTGACGTAAATTACATTATGCTGGCATTATAAAACAACACAGTTAATGAAAATGAAACGTCGTACACCATGACAGGTTTGCTTGAGTGGGAATTGCCACACGATATAAACGATTGAATAACTGACGAGTACAAAAATAATTAGAAACTATATTAGAAAATTTAATGTGAGCTACATATTTGCAGAGGAATATGGAAATATGTAATTGATAATTTTCAGTGTTTGCCCACAAAAACATAAACTAAATCATGTTTTAGAGTTTTAGAGTTAACCGGGAGCAGTACTGCAGTAAATGGGGTTTTACGAAATTGTGGACTGTTTATCCCAGTTCTGGTCGCTACAAACGTCTAATGTTGCCATTCAGTGGTAAATAATGGTAAGTGATAGAATGTTTGGTACATGTTGCGAGAATATTTGGTTAGATTTAAGGAGAGGGCAGAGTCAGGATGGATCTTGAATAAAGAAGTAAAGTTGTACAACTATGTTACGATCTTACACCTATTTTACTTACGTTTGGTGTAAACGCCCCAACAGCCAGCGGCGCCGTCATTCCGGGTATTGTGGCAAACAGGTTGGATATTCCGAAAAGTACCCCAGCATATCTGGCAGAGATACAACATTTCAAACTTTGATCAAGATGTACAGGAGTGGCTATGATTTTACGTCGCTTTTAGCAATATACAACCAATATCACGGCAGGGGAGAAATAAGTTTACCAGAAATAAGTTTCACACATTCTGATGTGGGGAATCGAACCCGGGTCTTCAGCGTAACGAACGAACGCCTTTATCCACTAGGTTACCCACTGCCCAAATGTACAGTGTGATTGATTATGGTTTTACGCCGCTTTTAGCAGTATTCCAGCAATATTACGGCAGGGGACACAAGAATTGGGCTTCACACTTGTACCAATGGGGAATTGAACGCGGGTCTGGTTGGTTGTATACTCCATATTTGTTCGCTAACTGTATGCTATCGGATAGACGAGTTTATCGCTATTACTTGGATGTGACATCACAAAAGCATCGTAAATACTAAAGGATGACACACCTGGGGGCGAAGTCGACGACGTTGACCATGAAACCAGAGTTGCAGAGTCCCATGAAGCCGACGGCGACACATAGGAGGATGACGCCGACGTACCTGTTGCTGCAAGTCACAAAGCCGGTCCCTAACAAGCACCCACTGGCGCCAAAGAAGGCTGTCAAGCAAAAAGTAACTGTTACAGCACATATGTATTGTGAGTGAGTGAGTGAGGTTAGTTTTACGTTGCTTTAGCAATATTCCAGCAATATCATGGTGGGGGGGACACTAGATATGGATATGTATCGTGACTGAGTGAATGGGTATGTTTTTTCCTTGCTTTATCTCCTAATTTTAAATATCAGAGTCCTCGGAGATGCAAGGCAAAAACATCAAAGAACACGGATGGTGCTATGAGGAGAAGTGACACAATCACGGAGAATCTGTAAACACCCATGACCATCGAATCCCGGAATGTGTAAGGGAAGCAAATCTGTACCATTCAGTTTGTACAATCCAATACACACCAAATTTGACATATGGCTTAGTGGTCATATTCGTTTTGAAAAAAAAAGACTTTCATGAAAGTGTTTACATGGCAACTGCAAAAGGTTTCGGAAGAGATCGTTGACCAATACATCTGAATCCACCACCAAGATCGAAAGTACGTAACCATGGTGATCAAGAAAGGATCAATGGATTGTGACGGGATGTGAGATGGTGGTGTTTGACCGTACCGGATGGCATGAATCAGCGGTCACTTTGTCCCAGTTCACGAAGTAATTTTACAGTTAAAACATAACGATGACCTTGTTAGAAGACACACCTGTGGGAAGGAATTGACCCATTCCTTCACATGATACTCTCTAGACTTGTTGAGTAATAATATTTACCAAGAGCTTGAGCCCCTCTCCGGGTGACCTTGGTGCTCAGATAGTGTGTACGCAGGAAGTCAGCAACCTGACCACCACCTAGTGACGTAACGGCCATGGCCATGAAGGGAGCAGACGACAGCAGGCCGTTCTGGTTGGAGGAGGAAGAAAACAATTTGTGGACAAAACAAAGACTCATAATGAGTACCAGGTTGAGACATTAAACACTGGATATATCAAGACGCGACTTTATACAATTTATCTGCTATTTTATTATTTGCCGTTGTGTGTGATCAACGCGGGACATTAACAGCGGACATGCCAACACACGTTGTGTTGTATTGTTGTGCCCAGATAACAGATGTTTCACCAAGATGTGACCTTAAAGCGTCGACATATTAACTGACAAGGTGTGTGATCCAAATGCGACCTTAAAAACTTGACAAATGTAACTGACGCTGTGGCGTCAAGATGTGACCTTCACAATGGATGACTAACTGACGTTATGTGTGGTTAAAATATATAGCCTTTTACCTTGGATATAGTCACGAACGATGTGTGTTGCCACACTTTTACCCTATAAAATGGATAAAATCACGTGTGAGTGAGTTTAGTTTTATGCCGCACTCAGCAATATTCCAGCTATATGACGGCGGTCTGTAAATAATCGAGTCTGGACCAGACAATCCATTGATCAACAGCATGAGCATCGGTCTACGCAGTTGGGATACGATGACAAGTCAGCGAGCCTGACCACCCGATCCCGTTAGTAGCCTCTTACGACAAGCATGGGTTACTGAAGATCAATTCTAACCCGGATCTTCATAAGTAAAATCACCAGTGTGTATCGTGAATGGTGAGTGGACTTTCTAACACATTCATAGCACAATGGATTTACATTCTGGGTTATTCGGAAGACTACACTTTACACCACACTGCATTTTAGCACATATTACCCACCACAACCGACTGCACTTTACACCTACATCTACACTTCTGCCCGAGGTCAGATCCAAGAAAAGGTTACCAAACAATTATTAATGCGTTAAATAATTCAAATGGTGACACTGGTCATAAATAGCAAAATATCGTTAAACGTGTAGACAGGCAGACAGACATACAGTTTATTCATAGTGTCAGTTGATGGTGTACAAATATATAGATACGCAAAATACATAATTCTACAGGGATGTATTTGACTTATGGGTCCTACTTTCACAAAGTGATCTTAGCCTTATGATGACCGTAGCTCTCATTCTTAAACATTGACTTTAGACAGTCTTAGCGCTAAGATCGGTTTGTGCAAGTGAGCCCATGGTGGCACATCGTGAAACGGTGTTATTTAATATTAGACAGCTTAGTACTCCTACCTTCAACACAATGCCTCATGGTTCGAGCTCAAGTGTAATCACCAAATCACCAGCAATATAATGATTCTTACCGATTTCACATCGAAGAGGAGAACTTTTTTCAGGAAGGTGGGTACCTCCGCCATGATGGTGTACAACAACCAGTTGAAACAGACGTGGGACAAGACACAAACGTAGAGAGGTCGTGATGTTGCTATCTCCCGCCAAGGAGTAGATGTTACCTGTAGTCAAGTACAATGTGTGAATGGTTGCCGTCAGGTCAAGATCAATGCAACGGTGCAAAACAACTTCGGTTATAGTTTCCCTTTTTCTTTCCATTTAATAAACACGTAAATAACAATCATTATGCTATTGTCATCGTGTAGGTTTTGTATAGCTGTGAAGATCTGGGTTAGAATTTGTCTTTAGTAACCCATGCTTGTCGCAAAAGGCGACTAACGGGATCAGGTGGTCAGGCCAGCTGACTTGGTTGACACATGTCATCGTATTCCGATTGCGTAGATCGGTTCTCATGCTGATGTTCACTGGATCGTCTGATCTATTATTTATAGGCCGCTGGCTGGAATGCGGTGTTAAACAAAGAAACAAACCCGTTTTGTGGTGTCGCCAATGCTCTTAACGATGTACTCGCGCTCTTCGTCAGTGATGGAGGAGTGGTCTGATGGACTGTCGGACACGAAGATGAACCACACAATCACCCACAGTAGGTTAGCTGCCCCTGCGCAGGTATACATATAGAGTCAGGTTGTGTTTGATCTGAGGTAGTATATCTGCCTTTCCTTTGAATAGTTTGAACGGTGTAACTAAATCCCCAAACAATAAGAATAATATTCGTATTCTCTGAAATTTCATGTGCGTGCGCATCCCTTCAAGTTATACCCTAATTTACCCTTGAATAGTGTTTCTGACTATTGTCTCAATTCTCGGCGTGGGGGGGGGGGGTGGGGAATGTGTGAACAGATTATACGAGTTGAACATATTAGCAATTGGTAACTTGTGTATGCTATATTTACTGCTTTGCGTGAGAGTTTCACCTGGTAACACTTTCAGGCTAAGACTGCTCGGTCTGTAATACTTCTATATAGGGGGCGGTGGGGTAGCCTAGGGGTTAAAGCGCTCGCCCATCACGCCAAAGACCCAGGTTTGATTCCCCACATGGGTAAAATGGGTGAAGCCCATTTCTGCTATCCCCAGCCGTGATATTGTTGGAATATTGCCCAAAGCGGCTTAAAACTAATCTCACTCACTCATCCTGTATGAAAGTAATATAATTACCTATCACGTAAAATATAGATCCCCATCCATTGTCAAATCCTTCAGCACACAGATAACCAGATATCACAAACGTCAAAATGTTTCCAACAAAAGACCCTGAAAATAGAATTTGGAAAATGTCCTAACAAATGAATGAATGGACGAATGAATGTTCTTTATCGATTTAACGAAATCCATCTGTGAAAACTTCAAATAACATGACTCGTTCACTGAAAATCAGGGACAACACCGGGTGTCCGTGAAAAGAGCCTGTGTGCAGTAAACCATAATATGCGCCAAATAAGCTGTTTACCCGAGAAGGTCAGGGAGATGAGTTTACTTCTTTCCATGGGCGGGGCCCATCTTCCCCACATTGACTGCATCGCTGGATAAGACACGCCCTGAAACAGTTATTCGCGAACTACTGTTGAAAATAGTATAGAAGAAAATTACGTTTGATGTGGATCGTGGTTATCGGATGAAATTGTCTTCGGATTATCGATTGATTTAAAGGAAAACGACGGTTCGGAGATATTCTTGATACACCGATTTCTTTATAATACGAATCTGACTTCTTTATTATAAGCAAAGTCTCGGACTCATTGACATCCATTAATTATGTCAATGACTTTTAAATGCCGATCAAAGACTTTATCGATTGTTATATTTTTGTTTTATACCAGCCTTGGAAACAACTCTGTCATTATCGGCCGGGAAATTTGATGAACGGGTTCCGGGATAAAGGAACTCAATATTAACAGGGTCCAGCCTAACGCGTTCTAGTCTAAAGATGTCAGAGTAAATTAAGTCCAAAGTTAAAGGAACCTGACTAATATAAAACAAATTCCAGGTCCTACAGTGACGGGGTCTAGTCAAATTGGGTTTCGATTAACGGGGTTCCCAGTTAGGGGTTCCATTTGCTTGATGACCTGTGTTAGGTCAGGAAAGCGCGGTTCAGTCTATTGTGATTCAGAGTAACGGGGTCAGTGGCCCTGTACCGGGTGCCGAATAAGATGTCTTCTCGAAAGGCTTCAATATAATCATGTCCAGATTGAACAAGGTAAAGATTAACGGAATTGAGTCTATTGTGATCCAGAGTAACAGGGTCAGTGGCGTGTACCGGGTGCTGAATAAGATGTCTTCTCTATAGGCTTCAATATAATCATGTCCAGATTGAACAAGGTAAAGATTAACGGAATTGAGTCTATTGTGATCCAGAGCAACAGGGTCAGTGGCGTGTACCGGGTGCTGAATGAGATGTCTTCTCTTACGGGTCCACATAAATATGTCCAGATTGAAGGAGGTAAAGATTAACGGGATTGAGTCTATTGTGATCCAGAGTAACAGGGTCAGTGGCGTGTACCGGGTGCTGAATGAGATGTCTTCTCTTACGGGTCCACATAAATATGTCCAGATTGAAGGAGGTAAAGATTAACGGGATTGAGTCTATTGTGATCCAGAGTAACGGGGTCAGTGGCGAGTACCGTGTGCCGAATGAGATGTCTTCTCTAACAGGTCCACATAAATATGTCCAGATTGAAGGAGGTAAAGATTAACGGAACTGAGTCTATTGTGATCCAGAGTAACGGGGTCAATGGCATCTAACGTATTCCCGAATGAGATGTCTTCTCTAACAGGGTCCACATTAACATGTCCAGTTTGAAGTAGGGTCAAGATTAACGGGGTCCAGTCTGTCATGATTCCGATTAAAGGTATCAGATTTACAGGTCCATTATAAGATATATCTATAACAAAATATCTTACCGAAAAGAATCCAACGATTACCCTCAGTGCGTACACAATATATATGCTCTCCCTAGCCCCTACTGGAGTCAACAGGGTAGCTATGGCAGCAATGGTCCAACCAACTCCAAGCACATATTTGCCCCCAAACCTTCCGGCAAGCCATCCAGCGGGGATTTGGGCAAAGATATAACCGTAATAGAAAGCTGACAAAAGGCCGGATTGTTCTCCCTTGTTCCAATGGAACTCCGCCCTCTGGAAAATACAAGTGAGTGAGTGAGAGAGTGAGTATAGCATACTGAAAATAGAGTTATTTGATCAAAACAGATTTTCTTTACAGTTATCAACAAACAACTGTCATCATCTTTGATGGCGATGTTTAGTAGTTTTGGTTATTCTGTATGCTCACAAACAGTGTTTTTAGGAAATGCACACGGAGACGTGTCCCTAATTCCTTCACACATCCACATGGTTAATTACCAAAAGGATGAGATTGAGACTGATGAGTGAGTGAGTGAGTTTTACTCCGCTTTTAGCAATATTCCAGCAATATCACGGCGGGGGTCACCAGAAATGGGCTTCACATATTGTTCCCATGTGGAGAATCGAACCCGGGTCTTCGGCATGACGAGCGAACGCTTTAACCACTAGGCTACCCCACCACCCTTGAAAATACAAGACATCAGTACAAGCCGATAACGGGACAAGCCGAATAGCGATTCGTGCCCCTCTGGAACATTCGTAACTACTCGCCTCTTTCCGTGACCTACAAGAAGAATCGTACTCCTGTCGTACGCCATTATTGCCAAGAATCGTGGCAAACTTATCAAATCGCGCGTAGTTAAACGCATTTCGAACCATGAAAATGGCGGCACCGTTGAACTTTGAATCTTCGCTAACTATGCAAAGCATAATTTAAACATAAAGTTTGAGCTTAAGGATCAGCAACTTCCAACACTGAAACTTACTTACAAAGGGAATGACTGTATAGTTGTTTTATCCACGGGATATGGCTATAGTATAGGATATTCTTGGAGTAGCCATGTTTGTAAATTAAGAGTTATCTTTCCTTGGTATTTTCATCTCCGTGACCGTTTGCGCTTAGACAGGGCCTAGTCGTAAACTGCCTTTTAGATGGGTACGAGACGCCATCCGGCTTGCCGGAATGACACGAGTAATTACGAATGGGAATAACACGGGTGGGTCACGAATGTCGCCAGTAGTGTATGGTTCTAACATGAATTCAATACAAGGACGATATAGGTTTGCACATTTTGATCTTTCACTTTTCTGCTTTTGACGCTAGCCAGGCTGCTCGGAAGGCCATCACCACTGAGTATTTTCTTCACAAATAATATTTAACGAACTTTTCAGAAAAACATTATTTGAAGTTAATAATAGATTCGCCCTTAACAGCCCTGTGTTAATAGATAAGATTCAGAGTTCGGAATGTATGATAATATCGGAAGAATGATGCATATCTTTGACAGGTGTATATATCTTGAAGAATGGCCAATTAGGTGAGGTTTCTCGAATAAGGGGGTATTAACCCACATTTGATTGGAGAGGGCTTTTATAAGGATTAAGAACTTGTCCCCTATCCTTTTCACTTTGTGAATAAAATTTGTTTCAACTAAACTAAAAACATTTGATTTTAATCTTAAAATCCCTGAAGTCGGATTTAACGAATCCACACTTAGTGAAAAGATTAAACGTGGCCTTACACTGCACAGCGCTAGGCATTAACATGATGAAACTAGGTCTGGTAGGCTCTGAGACATTGTCTTCTATCTCAGTGGGAAGTCTATGCTGCAACTGTCGCAGTGTAACTCAAAGGATGAACTTTTGTAAAACCAGCATTAGACCACACAGGTACAACTGCCACGCACACAAACGCGCACGGAGCAGTGGGGTTGCCTATTGTGGTTAAAACGTTCAATCGTCACGCCAAAGACGCAGGTTCGATTCCCCATATTGGTACTAAGTGTGAAGCCCATTTCTGGTATCTCCTGCCGTGATATTGCTGGAAATAATATTGCTATGCGGTCTGAAACCAACTACAAACTAGCACAATCACTAATTTCCCGTAAGCTCGCATGAACCACAGTTATATTGTGAGTGGGTGATTTCAAGTCGGTTATATAGCAGGCCCCTAGCTTGGACTGACTGACTGACTGAGTTTAGTTTTACGCCGCTTTTAGCAATATTCCAGCAATATCACGGCGGGGGACACCAGAAAATGGGCTTAACACATTGTGCCCATGTGGGGAATCGAACCCGGGTCTTCGGCGTGACGAGCTAACGCTTTAACCACTGGGCTACCCCACCGCGCCCCCTAGCTTGGATGATGGATGAAATCTCTGAGTGATACATGCCTTACGGCTTTCAAATTATCATGGTTATGCAAACCCACATATGAATCTGACACACCACAGCCCAGATATGCTGTTGCGATAATCATGTCGGGCCATCATTCACTGCCACGTGATTCCAGCCGGGGCAACTCGTGAATCTTATCTGTGGTGTCCGACCGAGCAATTTCAAATATGTATCTACGTTCATTAACTGCTTCAAAATCGACAATCGTGTGCTTCCATCTGCTGAAATTTAGTCTATGTTCGACAATAAAACCTGGCACGGGTCGCACATTGGTCTGAGCAAACGCAGTTGGTAGAATCATGTCGCTGAGGTTTTTCGGTTTTGTCTAGAGTTTAATTTCAGATTCGTCTTGATCGATACTTAGTTTGAATTCACCATACCCGTTCGCAAGGCCTGAAGGGTCATTCCATACCTGCAACAACCTCCCTGAACATAAAGCTGACAGACCGTTAGAACCGTTTTGTACTCTGTGGGCAGGAGAGACCAGGGGACGAGTTGGTAACACAGAACGTATATTTTTGGCGGCATTCCACATGACATGGCATTCGGTCGCCAAAATATTTAAAGTGCTTATAAAACCAGTTGTTATAACTAAAACTTGGTTTACCACCGCGTTCGAATAGATTACAATGTGGGAAATACAGAGGCAAAATCAATGTGATATGTGTCCAACAAGTGCAACAGCCCAGACTGAATAAAACATCGTGACTTTGTAGCGATATACGAGAAGACAACCCAAAGTTATATCAGACTGGCTGTTCCAGTGTGAGTGGTCATGACTGTGTAATTTTATAGCTGTAGGTAGATCCAGTGCGGCGCAAACGAAATTCTGGCGCAATGTTCACTTTTCCAGTAAGTTTAATGACGCTCTAATGATACAGGACCTTCATTAAGTTAATGATGCGCTAATGACATTATGACGTCATTAAAACGTTAATACAACAGAATTGTATGATACATTACTTAATGAAATGACACGTCACGTCGATACTCCAGAGCATTAGAGCGTCTTCTAAAACATAAATTTATCGGTTGAATAAGTATGTTGTATATAACTTTGAACCCACGTCGACTCATCGGAAATATCGGTCACTAGTGACTGAGTTTAGTTTTACGCCGTTTTTAGCAATATCACGGTGAGGGTCAGAAATGAGCTTCACACATTGTACCCACCCTGGTCCCTTGGCGAGACAAGCGAACGCTTTAACCACTAGGCTACCCCACTGCCCCTCGGTCACGATCAGCCTATTCTTTGAGGCGAAATGTTCATTTGATCGTCATGTTACCCCGACTGCGTTGGACGCTGCTCGGGGCCCACTTGCACAGAACGACCTTAGCGCTACAATTATTGTAAATCCTTAAGATCGCGATCTTAGGCTTCGGCTACAATCGCCATCCACTTGCACAAAGCGATTGTAGGATAAGATCATTGTAAGTTACAATCGAAACTTACAATTGGTCCGAACCAATTGTAAGGAGCTAAGATCATTGTAGTCTGTGACAAAATGGGGTTCAAGTTTGTGTCTGTTTCACGCAAATAATCAGCTTTACGTTTGGAGATTGCTTTTATATTGCATAAAACTGTGTGATTCGCCTCGACACTTCAACATACGGAGAATGCACCACCGATTTATCGTCAGAAACATTGTTATTTGCGGTAGTGAACTCCATAACTATCGAGTCGATATCATAAAATATTATTCACATCCGGTTCAGTGTTGGAAGAAGTGTGTGAAACAACATACCTTTGTGATAATCAAGGAAAGGATAGTAACGAAAGGTGTCTGCATGCGATTAGCAATGGCTGTGACCTTTTCAATAACTCAAGGGGAGCTAATCTTAGTGTTTACGCAAGATGGGAGTGGTTTCCCTTGGCATGTTATGCCGTCACCGTAGACTCTACCATGTCCAATGCATTTAATGTTGTGACATCGCAGATCTCCACATATATTTTTTTCCGGTCACATTCGTGTCTTTGAATTTGTCTTAGTTTATAATTAAAATAATCTACAATTAGATAACGTGCAAAATCAAGTTTCTTTCTCATTCTTAAATATAAAATTGAGTCGGACGAAAGACGAGGGTTTTTAATCTATGCATTTTAGATATAATACAAGTATTCATCAAACAGGAAAATACACTTGCTAATGCATTTGAAATTTGTGTAAAAGGAATTTCACAATAAGAAAAAATAATCATCAACGAAACAGGGTTAAATAATTAACATACTGTGAATAAGTATTTAACAACACATACTACATGAACGAAATATTTATTATTCATATTTCCCTGTCATGCATTTTCCACAACACTCCCGTAGTCATGTCACCTTTTCATATCTTTACAAAATTAATACTTGTGGGATATATTTGGGGTTTTACACCAAATCCCCCGAACAGATGCGTATTAAACAATGTCTCATTGGCAACCACTGGCAACGGCTTTGTGCAAGTAGATTCGGGCAATTGTATGTTGATTGTAAAGTTGATTGTAGGGGCCTAAGATTGATTGTAACTAAGATTGTTCTATGCAAGTGGGCCCATATCTTTAACAACCGAGTCGACTGTTTCTTTAATACCGTGGCGGTGGGGTAGCCCGTCACGCCAAAGACCCGGGTTCGATGCCTCACATAGGTACAATTTGTCGACCCCATTTCTGGTGTTCCCCGGCGTGATATTGTTGGAATTTTGCTAAAATAGTGAAACCATACCCACCCACTCATTCTAAATGCCATTGTGATCTACTAGCTCAAATGTTACTCTAAACAACATTCAGTAAACCATTTTATTACTCACCCGTTGAAGATATCACTGTTTCATAATTTTACTATGTTATTACACATTGTCTAATAACGTCGCGTGATGCCGTACGTATGACGTCAAAGTGGTTTACAGTTATGACGTCACAATGCTAAAACCTCTGTCACAATAATATTAGACCTTGCTTGACTCGCGGAAAGCTGAGAGTCATCACACTCGTTGAATTCTTAAGAAAGAAGTACTTTGCTCGATATTATTTTGCTAATGTTGGGTGTTGCTTTCGCTCGTTAGATACCAAACCATTCATTCGTTTCATAAATATGGTATTACACGGGACATCGTTTAGTATTCTCTATTTCGTACCCAAGCAGAAGTGTCGACACAAAATATATATCTGAGAAATTAACATGCCACTTACGTCATAACCCTGCGAGGCATTGGCGTTGGCAACGCACGTTGGGTCGGAGATGTTGGCAGTTGATGCTGTCTTGTTGTCAATGACCATGCAGACTATGGCGACGCTGATGTCGGTCCTGACGCCGTAGACAAACATGAAGGAGATGAAGGCGATATAGGCCAGCAGCCATCGTTTAGATAACAAGCAAGGCGCTGCAACACAATGCATATAAATTATATTTATATATCTTACCTCACACATAAATGTCGTTTTCTGATTGCTGGGCCAATAAATGTACATTTTCAATGTTACCCGCTGGAAATGCCGAACTGTGGGAATTCGTTTGGTACTTCGTTTTAGTAGTGTTTGGGCACTTGCCTAACTCCGGTACTCCTTATTATCATCCAGAACCCGTGCTTCAAACAGTTCAAAAATAAACATTGAGGTGTTCGGTAATATAAATACGTTGTTCATTGGTCCCTCTGGGCCCATGGGTTGATGTATCCTCTATGTTTGTTTATGTTCCCTGAGCCCGAAGGGCGAGGGTAACATAAACAAACATAGAGGATACATCAACCCATAGAAAGTACATCACCCATGCCCCCAACCCCCCTCGTGACCAGTGAACAACTTATAATATACACATTTCTCAAAGAGTTCAAAAGTCCAAAAAGCTATCTGCTAGCCGCAATTTTGGGACGAGGGAGTGTTCATTGTTACAAAATGTTTCGTATTATTCTAAAATTATGTAGTTCTTGTCCTTTCATGAACTAAATCAATACTTATGATTCCTTGTCCAAGTATCGCTAAATGAACTGTTTGGAGCCGAAGGCAAGTCGATATTATTCGACTTGAGAGTCAGAGACACTGTACATTTGTGTGACAGATGACTGAGCGGTCCTGAGGACGATTAGAGCATGTTTTACTTGATCGTCATCTAAAATATATTTAGCTATGTTGTTCTGAAACCGAATGAAAACAATTGTGATATTTTTCATTTTCATGTGCATCGATATGTTGGCTATCGATAGATCGCAATTTCTTTTACGTGAAAAGATTTTCTTTGCAGGTTTATAATGAAATGGGTATGGAACATGAACGGACATGAGGCAATGATTAAGGTCATTCGATAAGGTCACCGCCAAAATGCATTTGAGACATTCCAATCAAGTGCTGCGTTTTTTTCACCAGTTTTTTACTCCACTGGATAAGTGTGACGTGCTAGTCGCCAATACCTGCAATGTTGATGCGGGTTTAAGCAATATTTACCCATAATGTGACGAGGGCGGTGGGGTAGCCTTGTGGTTAAAGTATTCGCTAGTCACGCTAAAGACCCAGGTTCCATTCCCCACATGGATGCAATATGTGCAGCCCATTTCTGGTGTCTCCCGCCGTGGAATATTGCTGAAAGTTGGTCAAAGCTGCGTAAAACCAAACTCACTCACTTTAATGTGATGAATTGTTCTCGTTCCAAGAAGGAAAATATGTGTTTGTCCTCTTTATATTTATTCCCCTTTGATGGGCGGTGGGGTAGCCTAATGGTTAAAACATTCGCTCGTCACTCCGAACACATGGGTTCGATTCCCCATATTGGTATATTGTGTGAAGCACATTTCTGGTGTCCCCCGCTGTGACATTGGTGGAATATTGCTAAAAACGGCGTAAAACTAAACTCACTCACTCCACCCAATCACTCACTCCACTGTATTCCACATTAATTATCATTGAAATTTAACCCACCCATTCAGTATTCCCGTGGCCGTGCAATATACGCGACTAGGTAAACATTAAAATAGGTTTGTAGATCTCGACAACTGGGCTGACAATAAATATACGCAACCGAATTACACGCGTGGTATGCCTCAGTTACACACGTGGTAGGAGTTGCTGGGGTGGTAGACAGAGGAGGAGTGGTAGTAGATGCAGTAGCAGTAGTGGTAGTAGTAGCAGTGTAGTAACAGCATTGGTAGTAGCAGTAGCAGTGGAGGTAGTAGTAGCATTGTAGTAACTGCATCGGTAGTTGTAGTAGTAGTAGTAGTTGTTGTTGTTGTTCTAGCAGTAGTAGCAGTTTAGTGGTAGCTGCATGATTAGTAGTAGTAACAGAAGTAGTAGCAGCAGCAGCAGCAGAAGAAGAAGAAATCGTTGCACCCACAGCTTTTAGAGTGGTATCTTGAGTGAATTGGGACGAGCGCTTTGGTAATAAGTGCAAAAGTAAGCATTTTGAACTCTTGACTTTCAACTCTTGAAACATTTTGCATATACACCAAGCAAGAAACAACTAATCATTTGTGTTTCAGACAAAGCATCGTAAAGGCAAATTCACTCACCCTGTTTATTGAATATTTTGCACAGTTTACCTTATAATGGGCGAGGTTGGTGTAACAGCGATTACAACATTTCAGTAATATGACTTGTCTTGATGTTAATGGCAAACCCAGAATCATTCTCAATGCGTATTTATTATTGGTGCTAACGTTCAGCGGATCCTGTTGCGGTAAAGAGTAATGGGAATCGAACCGCCGATTATCCAACACATTCTCATTGCGAAGTCTCATCATGTTGATTTCTTTTCTTCATTCGTATCATATACTACTACTACTAGTACTACTACTACTACTACTACTACTACTACTACTACTACTACTACTGCTGCTTGCTGCTATTTTGTTTGTTTGCCCCACTCAGCATTATTCTAGCTACATGGCGGTAGACTGTAAATAATCAAGTCTGGACCAGACAATCCAGTGATCAACATCATCAGCAATTGGGATACGATTGCAGGTGTCAATCATGTCAGCAAACATGACCACCCGAAATCGTTCGTTGCAATTGCTTCGTACGACAAACATGGGTTGCCGGAATTCTAGGCCGGATCTTCACAGGTGCTGCTGCTGCTACTGCTACTGCTGCTGCTGCTGCTGCTGCTACTACTACTACTACTACTACTACTACTACTACTACTAGCAATAAAGTAATAGTACAAGCGACAAACCCTTTCAATAATCAGAACATGTTTCTGTTAAATATCCATTGTATAATTTTGAAGGTACAAACCTTGTATGGAATATTCAAATTTGTAAACGAATCGTGAATGTTTAAGCCGAATTAGTGTGAAAGCTAATTGTTTCAGAGGTTTTAACTATAATAACGCTCGTGAAGGTTGATTATGAGACAGCCAGTAAACTTGTTTATCACATATTTACAGTAAACAATCCAAAATCCCTCCATGTTTCAAAGACTTTATAACGTTTCCGTTTGGCTTAAGGTTCGATTATAATTTTCAAGAAAAAAGCGAATTAATCCTCACCATTTTCTCTCAAACGAGACTCTTCAATAGTTTCCTCCACATTCGTCCCCATTTTGAAGCAAGATAAAAGACAGTTAGGCGAACTGACCTTTACAGAGGTCAAGGCAGTGTGTTGTTGTTTCTTAGTTCCAGAAACACGCAAGATCTTTCATTATCTTTGCATGCGTAGATCGTGGGTTATTGTAGGCGAAGGTACGTAAGAAAAATTTGCTGTGTAACACAACGTGTAATTATGTGACAGATAATAGCCAGTCTCGGTTATTCGCAAATTTCATTGGGAGAAACAGGCAAATCAGCGATGAAATAATGAATGGATCACTGAAAATCAGTGACGACACCCGGTGTTCGCGAAAAACCCGGCACCGTCTGAAACCGCCATTTATGAAAATTTGCAAAGAGGTAAGGTACAAAAAACTACTGAAAGGCATGTAATTCAACACTAGGTTTTAAATGAACACGATATAGTAGAATATCGACACCAATTACTTGTACCATCCCTGCCTGGCGCTCGGCATTAATGAGTACAACAATGACTGGTCGACTCGGATTCAGTATAATGTGTCTGAGTGGGGTATTCATGCTTAACTGCGGCATGGTATCTCAATGAGCTAGCCCTATAAAACCAGCTTAAGTCTGGGCTAGTACAAGTAGCCGCACATACACACGCATGCACGTCGTCATATGAGCGAAATATTCTTAAGTGCGACGTTAATTTAGAATAGAAGTTTTAAATGTATCAGGTTCTAAGGGGCACAAATATTTCGAACATTTCTTGACCAATCCTGAATCAAAACACCAGATGAAGCTGTGTTTCATAGGCATATGAAAAGTACAATCACACACAGACTCGACTGTTTATAGGCCGCAGCAATCTCCCGAAGCAAAACAAGAAACGAATAATGCACGAGCGTTTTATATGTCGTTGGCCTATCTGCTCCTGTGTCAACAAATATGAACCCAGCTTCTTACATGAACCTTGATCAGCATGGCCTCCTGGCTCGTATAAATATTTATGTGTGACATTGATGATGAAAATGATAACCGTGCTATCCTTCACGCACTTTTCGTAAGGCATAAAGTAAAGATTTCGACAAACTATATCATGTACAATCACTACATCTCAAAACCAACATCCAAACCATTCCCGAGATCAGATTTGTTAAATCCTAGAAGCTTCCAAGAGTAATCATTGATTATTGTTGCAGAACCATACAGACGTATTTACATGTTACTATTACTTGGAACCATCACGAAATATATACATTGTGTGGATATCTAATAATGTTTTGGGGCGGTGGGGTAGCCTAATGGTTAAAGCGTTGGCTCACGCCGAAGATTCACATGGGATCAATGTGTGATTTCTGGTGTCCCCCGCCGTGATGTTGCAATATTGCTAAAAGCGGCGTAAAACCAAACTCAGTCAGTCAGTAATAATGTTTTTTATTAGAGCAGCATGAGTGATTTTAGTTTTACACCGTTTTTAGCAATAGGACCCCAGAACCGGACTTCACACATTGTATCCATGTGGGGAATCGAACCCGGGTCTTCGGCGTGACGAGCGAACGCTTAAGCACTAGGCTACCCAGCCACCTCAGGGCATCATGAAATTACTAATATATATTAATATGATTCAGTTGATGGCAGTATTTGTCAGAAAAAATATATTTCAAATTTTGACCATGAAGTGACACAACATCTCCGAGGAGCAAAATACGCACAGTATTAAGAGAATGTTTCCAAGTAATATGGGGGAGGACATGGTTCCATCCCCTGGTTGTACATTTTGTAAACCTGTAAGTTTCGGATACACCTGTAAGTCTGAAAAGCAACATGGTAGGAACATAGCTGCTTATACACACCCCCATGAAACAGATTTCACAAAAAATATTCCTATCTCCATTGACCTTCTAGACTTGTTTATGAGGTAGGCCGGAATGTATGAAAGAGGTTATTATCTGTGCTGGGTGCAAACCATAGTCGTAGGTGAAAAACAAACACGATAACAAAACAGCAAAAAACTGTTTATAAAGTGGGATAGAATCACGCCGAGGGAGGTTACAACGTGTTAAGCCCACTGTTTGCGACTTCAGTCGCCCGTCGAGGTACCCATTACCCTTAGGTTTTGTTGGTTTGAATTCCAACCGGGTAATGCCGACCAACTAGAGGCATTCAGTCATGGTCACGATATGCAAGAGGTGCTTGAAAACTTGGGTTTAGGATGTATGGTGCAATAGTTGCACATCATAACTAAAGTGCACAAAAATAGTAGCTTCCGTGCATTGCACTTTTGTCCCCTCGGCGTCCAAGACGTTGTTTGACGCACAAATAATGAGTGCGTGAGTATGATTTTATGCCGCTTTTATATTACATCAGTATTCCAGCAATATCACGAAGGCGGAAACCAGAAATGGGCTCTACACATTGCACCCACATGAGGAATCGAATCCGGTCTTGGGCATGACGAGCGAACGCTTTAACCACTAGGCTACCCCACCGCCCTTTGGTTTGAAGAAGATCACGTGAATTGGACAGACCTGTACCGGACACCTGTACTTTTCAGTGATGAATCGAGATATTGCCGTGACTCGGGCCTGAGACAAGGAGACAAGGAGACACAATTCCACCGTAGCCCAACATGACGGCTATGAAGGTGCTGGGTCATGAATCGGAGTGGTATCAGTAGGACTCGGAAAACAGATCTCAGTGTCAATGAGTGAGGTTCGATCACAGGTGTGCCCTACTGTTATGACATGTGAACGTGAGACCGTATGTTGATGCAATCGGACCTGACTTCCACCGTTGAACCCTCCTGTAAGTAGGAGAACACAGTCCGCATGGAGTGACCATCTCGCTCACCAGACCCCCTCCTCGTGCATCACACGTGGTATCCAGATCGCCCCTGACGACACCATACCCTACCGGTAACTCTACTGGAACTCAGCAATGTTCATATTGAAGAGTTGAACAGTCGTCCCTGGGCAATTATACAATATAATGGGAGCTAAACACGACGATGTCAGTCTGGCATTGTATTACATGCCGAGAGTTTTTCTTTCCTTTTTCTGCAAGGGTGGAAGGTTGGGGTGGGATTGGATTACTTAGTTTTCGTGATTTTTGCTTCAGTTTTCTTCAGTTCCTCTGACCTGATCTGATAGATTATTTTCCACATGGTGTTTGTTGGCATTGTGCAGCACATGACAGCGGACTTTGTTGTCCCCGAAACACGCCCACGAACCACGAATATTGTCTTTGGCTACTTCAAGAGATGCACACAATTCGAAAAGTGATCATTCACAAACTTTGAGGAGAAAGTGTTCATTCTATAATTGATATTTTGGCTTTGGATGAAGTGGAAACTCTCTTTAAGGTGTTTCAATGCCCTGGCTGCCAAGAGGTCAGGTCCCATTCTACAAATCGGCTGTGGGGCAACGACTGTCTTACGTGAATGATAACATATTGGAGATACGATAATCGCTTTCATGAACTGGTCCCTGTTCACAAAAAAACAATAGGTATAGTTGCTGGACAACACAACTATGAGGTGACAATCTCGGACCTCTTACCTTATCGTACCCCCTGTGAAGCTAGTGGTGCACATATAGAAGAAATATCTAGGGCTCCAGGTATATATATATATGTATATATGTGCTAGCAGAAGATCCGGGTCGTACGAGGCCACTCACGGGATCGGGTACTCAGGTTTAGTTGACACATGTCATCGTATCACAATTCCGTTGATTGGTTCTCATGATGTTGATCACTGAATTATCCGGTCCTGACTCGGTTATTTGCAGCTAGAATATGACCGAGTCCGGCGTTAAACAATAAACAACATACAATACAAAGAAGATGGAGCCGAAGATTTTTATGGATTGCAGTTGTTGTAAACCAGGGCCAAGATAGTCGTAAGTGCCATATATTAAAGGTCACATGCAACCAAAAAATCAAACATAATTAAAACACAATTATTACTTATTCATGACATATAATATACATTGCTGGTTACGAAAAAATATATAAACAAAATTATAAGCGTACAATCGCAAATCGAAAGTGCAAAATTATGTACTTCGGTTTACTTCCCAAGAAACGAAGCAGCCGGGATACCGAACCCAGTCAGAGCGGGTGGGTGTGCACTCAAGTGTAACGGCTGGTTCATCTGCAGATGCCTTCACGGCTAATTGTGTGTATATATATAGAGAGATGTTGGGTTTTGTAAATACATGCTCATTTTTTGTGTATAACATTTTGCAATCAACAGACATCATAACATGTCATGTGTTCAAGTATCACACCTGCCTGTCTGTGTAATTACATAATGTGACAGAGACCGAACTCGGGCCATAAATCAATGCATTTTGTTTATGGTGTATAGCCTGATTGGTGTTAAGTTCAAATTGCATGTGGTCAGTGATAGCAGCTTTGTATTGAATATTGTCATTAGCAGACAGGCAGGCAGACACACAGTTGTCAATAAAACAAGACATTGAGTTTAGTCTGTGACAACGACATATCTATATCACAGTTGGAAATTCTGTCAACGCTAAATAATGACATTGCTTTTAAGTATCGAACTGAGAAAGTGTCTCGGTAAGAAGAACGTGTGGTGAAATAGACAAATGAAATTATATAAACAGTAAATTTACTGTCATAACATGTAAAAAGCTCGCGCCTGTGAGATATTAACAAAACATTAGAAAAATAGCTCACACCAAAGCCTTCACCGAGTATTCACCCGACAACCCGCTTCCAAGCTGCGCGAACCTATTTACTTGCGCACATGCTATGAGCGCAGCCCAGCTGTTGAAACCCATTTTCCCCAGAAAAGTTTGAGGAAAATTAGTGAAACGTTTGAACTCCGATTTCGCGCGTTTTTTTTCATCGCGTTATTTTTCATCATTATAAGTTGAATTTGCATTTTTGACGATTTGTTTCGGTATGTCCATACCGAAAGGTATCAGAATCTGCAAAGTTGTGTTTTACGTTGCATGTGAGCTTTAACATTAATTTACGACTGTCTTAGCGCTAACAGAGAATCGAAAATCTAGGCCGTGGACAATAAAGTGTGTCATGGTACATGTACCCTATTCCGTGGGTGTTCACGTTATCGTCCACATGTTCTCGAAGGTCTTGAATCATCCCGACGAGCACTTATACAGGTACAGCCATCCTTCAAACAGATGCTGCTTTGAACTGAACCGTCTCGAAAAACGTAGTTTTACGGCGGAAGATGATATAAGAAAACAAACTAGCTCCTCACAGCGAAGATGTCCACTTGGGGAGTGTAACGGAGTGTCAGACACTGGGACGGACTTTAGACTATGAACAGCCAATGGGGACACCCCAAATCAAGGTTACTTCAACAACACAAGAATGTACGAGCAACTCGAAAATATTACTAACTATCAATATACAGTGACAATATACGTTGCCACATAACATTGGCGTGTTGCTTGATCTATCAAGCTCAGGTCGGTCTTGCTCAGATACTACACTACTGCACACGTAGCTAGTGTTTGTCAAGGTCAATGTCAATGAGGGAGTTCAATTATACGCCGTTTTTAGCAATTTTCCAGCGATATCACGGCGGAGAACACCAGAAACGAGCTTTAGACATCGTACCCATGTGGGGAATCGAACCCGGGCCATCGGTGTGACGAGAGAACGCTTTAACCACTAAGCTGCGCCGCTGACCCTGTCAAACTTAATCACTTGCAACAAAAAACATTTACATGAAAGCGCGAGGGGAAATCAGGGAGAGTAATATGGGAGTTCCCTTGTGGCATTTTGTTACTGAGGTCATCATTGTATTGCAGGAGTGCCATACGTTAACTGATTATGACGTGTGACTTTTATAGTTAACTGAAAATTGTTATCAGTGAGTGCTAAATATACGAACACTTACACGCAGATTATGTTTCTAGACTGAATAAATAATGTTCAGCATTATATAAGTAGTATTGTTGACATTAGAAGCAAACTAATGCAGACAAAACAAAATAAACTTGAATAAAAGATTTGCCTACATCAGCGAGGACACGCAAATGAAGAGAAAACGAAATATACTTTAAGCTGTTTAAAGTCTTTTATCTTTAAAACAGAGACTGCTTCCAGTCTTCAGTAATCTCCAGCACTGAGCTTTATACAGCGGCTGTGTCCAGCTGACTTCCAAGGTAAGTGGCCGTAATTGTGTTGACTTGCGTCCGTTTAGAACGCCAGAAACCAACGATGTAGGGTTCATGTCCCAAATTCATTGTAATAATATTTATAGTAAAAGTAATCGTGTATGTGATCCGTGAAGATCCGGGTTAGAATTGGTCTTCAGTAACCCATGCTTGTCGTCAGAGGCGACTAACGGGATCGGGTGGTCAGGCTCGCTGACTTGGTTGGCACATGTCATCGTATCCCAATTCCTTAGATCGATGCTCATGATGTTGATCACTGGTGTTTCTGGTCCTGACTCGATTATTTACAGACAATCGCCATACAGCTGGAATATCGCAGAGTGCTGCGTAAACTAAATTCACTCGCTCACTCACAAGGCATATGTACACATGTGGCCATGTCTAGGAACTGCATCACTGCTACAAGTTGGTATATTTCTTAAATAATGAAGTGTTTTGTTTAAAGCATGAGCGAATATGTCATTTTGGATAACCGGGCGTGTAAGGCGATACCACGCCACGTCAGTTCATGGTTCGATTCCACACCTTGGTGCCATATTTGAAGCCTGTTTATTCGGTTCTCCCGCCGTGACATCGAGATTGATGGAACATGTATAAAAGTGGTGTAAACCAATACTTGGTCGGTCACTCGCTCTAATGTCTTGGAAATCATTTTGGACATAATTATGCTTCTCGTTTATTCTTTGCTTATCATAAGTTCGAAATTAACGTCGGTCCTCAGGCCCGAAGCCGACCACTCGGACCCACAGCTCTTGTTTTCTGCTGGTCCTTATGGCCGACAGCTTTTTCATCCCCAATGACTAAGAGTATTATTATTCAGAAAATATGATTCAGTAATTTCTCGTTTTTATCTCGATCAGCAGCTGTTTTCTGTAAGTGAAACGACTATCATTTTCGAGGAAACATTTTAGCAAATGTTGTAACACTTTTTGAATTACTTATATTGTAGCTAAAATCGGGGCCTACACATTTTATGGTTCTGGGTACTTAGGACCTGCAGCTTTTCAGAGCTAAGGACAAACACTGATCATAACAGGTCATAAACTGTCTTCTATCCAGGTTGACTTAAACCATTCTTGTTTCTTCCAGGTCACAAACTATGATAACGGCTAGACATAGAGATGAACTGAGGGTCAAAGGTTATACGGTTGTAGAGAACGTTCTAACCAATGAGGAGTCGGATAAATACCGAGGGATGTACTGTGATTGGCTGGCAACATTCAATGGTACTTGGCCCCATTCTTCCAAATCATTAATTCAAAGATACAAAGTTGGTCAAATGGAACCCACCTGGGCCGTGAGGCTGAAAGCCAAGAAGGTCTTCGAGGAAATATGGGGGACAGAGAGACTTTTGAGTAGCATGGATGCCATAGCTATTGGACGTCCCCCAGAGGATGGGACGGAAGACTTCCTGTCTCCTGGAAAACCCTGGCTCCACACCGACCAAAGCCAAGCACGAGAAGGCCTTCATGCTTACCAAGGTGCTGTTTATCTTGAAACCGTCGATGAGGACGACTGGGCGTTCGAAGTGATTGAAAGCTCCCACGAGTATTTTGATCGGTACTATGTTGAATGCGACAACGCAATCAAGAATAGGAAAGAAAATCCAAAATGGCGCCTTAAGAGCTTAACTGACGAAGACGTCGATTACTTTACTGAAGAACACGGGCTCAAGAGGAAACCTGTTCCTGTTCCAAAAGGGGGTGTGATTTTGTGGGACTCTCGTCTCATCCATGCCAACTCCAGGCCCAAAAAAGGAAGAAAGAATCCTGGCAGATGGCGCTTTGTGGTCATGGTCTGCATGACCCCGGCCAAATGGACAGATGAAGAATCATTGGAAAAGAAACGAAAGGTATACGATGAAATGCTTATGACAGGTCACTGGCCAAGCAATGGAATACACATTTTCTCTGAAACACTACCTCCAGATGCTGCTAAAGATCCAAACCCACTAATAGAACACCCACCATCGGCTAGGACCAAAGAGGCAAAACAACTGGCAGGAGTCCTTCCCTATGAATCATCAGCTGATGATGACGGTGTTATGGCTACCCCTAAATTTCGGCTGGAATTTATGGAAGACTGACGACCTCCTCTATCAGCATCTACCCTGTATCAGTGGATGACAATAAAATATATCCATGCAACATAGCTACTGACTGTTATAGTTGTTGTGATGTTCTGTTAATAAACCGGGGCCGGTGGGGTAGCCTAGTGGTTAAAGCGTTGGCTCGTCACGCCGAACACCCGGGTGTCCCCCGCCGTGATATTGCTGGAATATTGCTAAAAGCGGCGTAAAACCAAACTCAGTCAGTCAGTCAGTCAGTTAATAAACCGGCTCCGTGGTGTAGTAGTTAGAGCTTCCTCCCCGAGAGCGGAAGGTCGAGGGTTCGATCCCCGGCCGCGTCATAACAAAAGATGTTAAAATATGGTACTTTTTGTTGGTCCCTGCCTGGCGCTCGGCATTAATGGGAGCAACAAGGACTGGTCGGCTCGGAGCCAGTATAATGTGTCTGAGTGAGGTAGCACTATAAAACCAGGTTTGTCTGGCTAGTACAAGCGGCCACACGTACACACGCACGCACGTCGTCATATGAGCGAGATATTCTTAAGTACGACGTTAAACTCCATTTCACCTCACCTTCTGATAATATATAACAATATGAAATGCTAGTTATCGTTCATGTTTGTGTGCATCTACTGTAATATATAATGTCTTTTAATCAAAGTCGTATTTGCCTAAGATGTACATTTGATTCAATCGACCTGATCAAGGACTATATACCGCGATGATGGGATTCAAACTTAGGATGTTAATCAAAGACGGACCACATATCCACGGATCAAGGACTTACATACATACACAAATCTACAAACCAAAATAACTGTGCAATATGTGACGAGTGATATATTCTTACATGTACAATTAATATCCAATTAACTGATTATCACTACGAGGAAAATGCACTGTGATGTTCTTCTAAAACGACATCGAGTTCACCGACCCGTTAAGATCCTGGTTTCTAAAGCATTAATAACTGTTTGAATATTGCTAAGGTGACCATCCTTACTCACTCACTCTGTTATATAAACATAATGACATATTTATAACTAAACTCACTCGAGTTCAGCTCGAAACAATAGGATTATCTAAGATATTTTATGTAAGCTTCACCTTTTCATGCTCAACACTTTCCATCGATAAATATATACTGTTAGACTGTCATGACTTGGAACAAACACACAATTTTATCTGCCAAACTGGAAATTAATCCTTTATTTAGGGATCAGTGTACATTTGTTTCGTCTTTGGGTGTAAAGCTACATGTATGTTAAACCGTTCGTGTAAGTTCGTGCGTGCGTGCGTGCGTGCGTGTGTTCTCAACCTGAATCAAGGCGATTTCTTTGAAGGTGAACACTTTTCGGTAAATCTTGACAAAAGTAACACATATATTCGTCAAATGAAATAATTAAAAAATACGTGTCCTTCGATCACAGGTTTCTGGCCCACCAAAGGGACGCAACACTGAAGTGAACTCTAAACCACTGGGGAGACTGCTGACTTCTGTAGTCGTGATCAGCCACTGGTGGTTGTGCTAGGGTCCAAGGTAGGTTCAGAATTATGTCAGCCTTAAACATAGGATAACTCGTTATATTTGCTATTATTAATTTCTTTGTGTTGTGGCACGGACTGTTTGGCATCTGTCTTCGTGTGGTGTATTTTGGCGGGCTGACCGACGATAGCGAAAATGACGGGGGACTTGCTAATCCTTTTGACTTTTGTAGAAAGGTCTACTGAGTCTATTTGCTGCAGATTGACATCCAATACAAAACGAAAGCACCAAGACATTAGTGCAAAAAGTTCCAATTTCCAGTAAAACCTATGTTGGTACTTGACCCGTGATTGAGCGGTATAGGTGTACATATATAAAATGTTGTGGATTCTTTGCAAATCATTTTTGAAATAAATGTCTGAACGGACAAACGAATTGAGAAATCCGTGTCGTGAGCGGGAGATGTGTCCCAAGGGCAGACGAAAGGTGTGATTATCACATGTTACATTGACTTTGATTCAGAAGAATTTGTCGTTCAGCCTCAAGTGTGAAAGGTCATTCACACTGAGCACGTTTTCGAGAAGAATAGGTCTCTATCTCATTTGTGGACATCTGACACGTAGTTCAAATGGGTTTCGGGGCAGTTGGGTAGCCTATTGGTTAAAGCGTTCGCTCGTCACGCTAAAGACCCGGGTTCGATTCCTAACATGGGTACAATGTGTGAAGCCCATTTCTTGTGTCCCCCGCCAGAATATTGCTAAAAGCGGCGTAAAACTAAACTCACTCACTTAAATGGGCTTCACACATTTCCATGGTGGGGGTAGCCTAGTGGTTAAAGCGTTCGCTCGTCGTGCCGAAGACCCGGATTCGATTCCCCACATGGGAACAATGTGTGAAGCCCATTTCTGGTGTCCCCGCCGTCATATTGCTGGAATATTGGTAAAAGCGGCGTAAAACAAAGCTCACTCATTCTTGTTTGTTGCATAGAGCGACATCTCGGTGTTGAAACCCTAACCTTGACTTTTAGCTCGATAACGGTATAAGAATCGAAACGTAGCTCTATGCAATAAACAAGAGGTTGAAGTCCACAAAACCATACTTTATCAATGAGAAACGAGAATAATGAGCTGGCAAGTTAATTGCTTTTTGATCGGTATCGGGCGGTCAGGCTCGCTGACTTGGTTTACACATGTCATAGTATCCCATTTGCGTAGAACGATGCTCATGCTGTTGATAACCGGATTGTCTGGTCCAGACTCGATTCTTTTCAGACCGCCGCCATATAGCTGAAGCATTGCTGAGTGCGGCGTAAAACTAAACTCACTCATTGCTCCGTATTGCGTTCCTCATGATTGTAATTCTGTTTCCCAAACAATCTGTGCCATGCAGATAAGACAAGAGTAAATGCTCCTTGTTAATAATATAGGACATATAGACTGACCTGGAATAAGCATAAGGAGTGTCGATGATATGAAACTTCGTTTTTTGTACAAGTTTTAGTTGGACGTCCTGTCGTTTTGAGAACCATGAAGTTGGCGATTGCGTGTATGCTTCTAATGTGCTTGGCAGCTGCGAGTAAGTATCAGGCATGTGGGAGACTTAGACTGATGTGTTGACGATGCCGTTGTGCACAGTAAATACCACGTATGATGGTTTGTTTGTTTGTTGTCTAAAGCCGTACTCAGCAATATTTCAGCTATATGGTGGCGGTCTGTAAATAATCGAGTCTGGACAAGACAATCCAGTGATCAACAGTACGAGCATCAATTAGTGCAATTGGGATGACATGTGTAAAAATCAAGCGAGCCTGACCACCCGATCCCGTTAGTCGCCTCTTCCGACTAGCATGGGCCACTGAAGACCAACTCTAACCCGGATCTTGACGGGTTCCACGTTTAATGGTATTATGTTTCACCGGTATTTGTCATCGAACTTAAGACAATGCATTATTACCTACGAAGGCGAAAATATCGGGGTTCACGTTTTTCATATGATGCCCTTGTGGCAAAATATCACTTTGTCATGGTGACGTGACGTCAATGAACAATGCTATGACGTCACGTTTCTTATGTGACGTTGCGTTCTACATACGGCGACGGTGGGTAGGCAGCCTATGTTTGAAAGTAGATTTGGGTTTATTTTCCTCAATTTGACGACTTCGGTAATAAACAGAATATTATATTCGTGCCAATATCATACTATGTTTACGACATTCGTGCCTAAATATCGCCATATCTCTCGCTTTCGCTCGGGAAATACCAACATTTAAGCACTCGTGTCGTAAACATAGTATGATATTGGCCACGTGATGATGTAATAGTGACAGCTTTAAGCTTTAATGTTGTGATATGACACACACGTGCCTATACTGCCGGTCACAAGTGAGCGAGTTTAGTTTTACGTCCTGCATCACTTCCGGGTTTTCGTTCCAACATAAACGAATAATTGAAATGCACAACGAATTTAAAACCATGTAACTACACCACCCTCTTTTGCAGACTGCTCAGTTCTGGACAGTGCCTGTCACAAGAACGGCGGCTCCTGCTACAGCATGTTCACCGACGTGTTTTGCATGGGGAAGCGCACTGCGGACGACTGTGGAGGCAGTTATCTCTACTGCTGCATGTACAACGCCGGCAATTAACATCCTTCACCAGGATCACTTGCAAAACGACGTCACAGAAGTAGAAGCCGTATTCGCTCATATGTAGTTGAAATAACAGTATTCGATAATCAAAAATATAATCGTATCAATTAATGCGTTATCCTTCCGGACGAGTGAGTGTTTGTGTGTGTGGGAGAGAGAGGGCGAGTGTGAGAGTGAGTGAGTGAGTGTGAGTGTGTGAGTGAGTGTGAGTGTGAGTGTGACCTGATGTGTAAAGTGAGGTATTGAGTGCGCAGCCCATTCGTGTCGTCCACAAACGTACGAGCGCGCGCGCGCGCGCACACACACACACACACACACACACATACGCACGAACGAACAGACAAATTGGAAAGTTTTAATCAATAGTTCAGGGATCATTGTAAATTTGATACAGCTGTGTGTGTAAAGCTACATGTATGTTTAACCCTTCAGGTAAGTTAGTGCATGGGGTCTTGCGCAATTAAAGCGTTTTCCCTCAAATATAAAGATCAAATCTCTTCGGCACGCCTAATATCCCCTTCACACCAAACTCTCAATACGTTCTTGAAAAAATGGTCGGATCGGGCTCGAACTGTGTGCGAACGGACTGTTAACAGTCTGTTTAAGACCCCAGAACCTTCAACATGTCCAACGTTCGACCCATTCTAAAATGGGACGGGGTGACAACGTACTTAACACGAGAGTGCCGTCCTACGAAAGGAATTGCCGTACTTCAATCTTATTGGGGATGTGTGCGGACGTAGTGCAGTCGGGCATCAATTGCAATACGTTTGTACACAGCTTCATCCACGTCCATCCCGTTCGCAGACAGACCTAACTCGACCGCATTACGTCCTTAGTTTGATACACACTAAGTACACACTAAGGATATTTGTAATGACCATGATTTCCTTACATTTTCATGACTTAAAGCAAAATTGGATGTTAGGGGTACGGCACTTGATTTAAAGCGTGTTCTTCTCATTATTCCCCCAAAATGGAAAGATGTTATACGAACAACAAAACATCCAAATAAATCAAAATTGTCAAGATGTTCCCCTGGAACTGATTTTAACATCCTTAGTGCAAATATGTTCAAAGCAAAATGCATTGTTCTGAAAAGGTTCGTAATACGTTTCTACTCGGTTTAAAATGTTTTCAATGGGTTCTCATTACGTTCTACTCATTATTGGTACGTTTATGTAGTTCTCACGCAGTTCTTACTACGTCAATACCGTGTGCAGGACGATATGCAATTTTCATTGAAAGCAAAGCAAGAGTACGAGTTGGTAGAACAAGAAAGGAGGAAAAGAACAAGGCACACAGCTCTCTCCTCAGGCACAGAAGGCTCAGCAACTATGGCTTCATCTGGGCTTGTTGATCTTGGACTGGATTTCCCACGAACTCTCTTTCTTGGTCCACCCTTCTTCTTCCTTGGAGGCATGGTGATGATGTCTCCACCTTGAAACTGAGAACGGGAATGAGAACGTGCAAGAACGTGCTGGGCCAGGGCGTGATTGCTATCACACACTAGGAACGGAGTGAGAACGTAGTGCGAACGGGTAGAACTGTCTGAAAACGAGTTAGTCGAGTTAAGAACGAGTTAGAACGGGGTTATGCGATTAAGAATTACGAGAAAGGTCTAGTTCAGAAGCCCATTCTTTAAACAAGTTTCCATGACCTTGGCCGATGCCATAAGAACCACATCAAAGTTGATACAACTGATGACGAGAGTGAAGTACAAGCCACTCAGCAAAAACAAACAAATTCAAATCATTCTTTGAATGACAAGATTCGGTTTTGTTGGAATAAAAAATCAGCCCCTTTTAATCAAGTGAGGCACTGATGATGAAGTCCGTCTAATGAAACCTCTGACAAACGATAAATGACTATTTACGACATTGAGTGGGTTTGAAGGAAATTACGACATCCAGAATACAGCCGACCTATCCACAAATTATGAAAGAGAAAACATGAGCTGACAAATTCATTGCTTCTTGCTTCGTTTCCCACGATTGTCATTCTATTTCCTAAATAATCCGTGCCTTTGTCATGAAGATAAGATATGACTAAAGGGTCCTTGTAACCAAGGAGATTGACCTATAATGGCCGTAGGGAGTGTAAATGATATAATACCTGGTTGTTTGTACTTGTTTTACTGATAGTTGGACGTCCTGTCGTTTTGAGAACCATGAAGTTGGCGATTGCGTGTATGCTTCTAATGTCCTTGGCAGCTGCGAGTAAGTATCAGACATGTGGGAGACTTAGACTGATGTGTTGTCGATGCCGTTGTGCACAGTAAATGCCGCGTATGACGGTTTGTTTGTTTGTTGTTTAACGCCGTACTCAGCAATATTCGAGCTTCATGGCGGTGGTCCGTATATAATCCAGACTGGATCAGGCAATCGAGTAATTGGCAACAAGAGCATCAAGCTACGAAAATTGAGTCGTGTGTTCGACTCCAGATCGTGTAGACATAGTCGGTGGGTTCGAATCCCATATTCACAATGATTATGGTCCTTGTTATTACGCTTACATTATGTAAAAATAAGACTCGCCCTGCGTCACTTCCGGGTTTTCGCACCACCATTTTTGTGCACATAAGTCATGAAGTTCAAAGGTTAGGGCGAAATGCTCCTCAGGAAATATATTGTCGGGGAGAAGGGGGGCGTGATTTCGGGGCCTGCGGGGTATTGATCCGCCCCTGCTTAAGCATAATGACAAATGCGTAGATAGATGCTCATGCTCTTGATCACTGGATTATCTGGTCCAGACTCGATTATTCACGGACCATGGCCATATAGCTGGAATATTACTGAGTGCGGCTTTAAACACCCAACCATCCAAACAAACAGACAACCAACCAAATATATGTTATTCACTTGGATTCTAAACCATTCATACTGTTTAAATATTGCTAAAATTGACCATACTTACTCACTCACTCTATTATACCGTAAACATAATGACATATTTATACCACCCTCTGTTGAAGACAGCTTCATTCTAGACAGTGCTTGTCACAAGAACGGTGGAGCCTGCCGCAGCATTGCCTCCGACGAGCTCTGTTTTGGAAAGCGCACTAGGGACGACTGTGCAGGCAGTTTCTTCTACTGCTGCATGCCCAACTTTAACATCGGCAAGTAACCTGCAGCAACAGGATCAGCTACTGAACGACGTAACGGAACATTCGCCCATATGTAGTTGAAAAATAAATATTCGATAATCAAAATAAATAATCGTAAAAATGAATGCGTTTCCGCTCCGGATGAGTGAGTGAGTCAGTGAGAGAGTGAGTCAGTGAGTGTAAAGTGAGGTACTATGTGTGCATCCCATTCATGTCCATTTGACATGACATGGTCCTTACTCGATTGTTTACTGATTGGCGCCATATTTCTGACAACAACAAACAAACAGTTTCACTTCGTATACGTTCGTTCCATATTGTGACATTTATTGCGGCGTACATTAAAAACCAAAAAATTAAAGTTTAACAACAAACAATCAACCAATGTATTAGAGTAACAACGGTATTACGTTAAAAGGCATTACTATAATACGTCTACCATTGATAATAATTTTAATGATTGAATCGTTAATGTTAAGCTGACACTAGCTGACACTAGCAATATGAATCGAATGTGTTATCGTGGTTGTTGTGCCGTTTCTCTAACTTAAAAACATATTCCAGTCAGATACCGCTTAGGTGATGTTCTGCTTATAATAGTTTTGCGTATGAAAGTAATATATATCTTTTTGACATTCATCTGTTTTATGATTATTTGAAATACAGTCGAACCCCGTTTATCCGGACATTGTAGTTACATATATTATTAAATTAGTATTCATATATTTAATTGAATTGAAATGTATTATTGATTGTTGATGTAGCCCAGTGGTTAAAGAATACGTTTGATTCCCCACATGAGTACAATGTGTGAAAGCCATTTCTAGTGTCCCCCGCACTAATATTGATGGAATATTGCTAAAGGCTGCGTAAAACCCAACTCACTCACTCACTCACTCACTCACTCACTCACTGAGATGTAGTTCCATTTTATGGATTCACACTCTGAATAAAATGAATATCTGAATAAACCTTTGAACGCTAAAAACCCTGATGCCATCATTTATCCTGAATTATTACATTTAATATTCGTCAAATGCATTTAGAAGCTGGTGTTGTAATACAAGACAAATCTTATGGATAATAACTTAGTTATTTATTTTTCACATCATTTTCACAACTAGCTCAGAAACGTTGTGAAAAATAAATCAAGAAGTTTTTTTTCATAAGATTTGTCTTGTGTTATTACATTTTAAGGCTTAAATACCGCGAGACCCTATTCTTGCAACTCCAAACCGACACCTATCCAAGGATCGAACAATGAGGACATGAACATCAATACAAAAATCGAAATACAACGATCATATGCTCATGAATAATTCACACACTACTTGAAAGGGAGCATATGTCGGTGAACATCATACTACTAAAGAGGTGCATAGTACCCCTTCAAAGAATTCAAGTAGACGAAGAGGTGATAACAAACTTGGCCACGGAAAAAATATTGAAAATAATATTTGAGAGAAACAGAGAAACTTACATACAGGCGGTTTATTTCAGAAAAGGGGCGGTGGGGTAGCCTAGTGGTTAAAGCGTTGGCTCGTCACGCCCAAGACCCGGGTTCGAATCCCCACATGGGTACAATGTGTGAAGCCCATTTCTGGTGTCCCCCGCCGTGATGTTGCTGGAATATTGCTAAAAGCGGCGTAAAACCAAACTCAGTATTTCAGTAAAAGTAATATAGGCCATAGGCCCAGGTTACACTTTGAGAATTACAGAGTGAGAAAGTATGTTAATGACACATCACACAGCAAACCCAACACAGAACGAAGTAGACGAAGAGGTGATAACAAACATGGCCACGGACAAAAATATTGAAATTAATATTTGAGAGAAACTTAATTTCAGGATTCACCTTGCATCAACCAGCAAACCCAACACAGAACGCTGCTACAAATCGAAAGTAGACTTTGTGATATGTTTGTTTGTATGTTGTTTAACCCTCACTCAGAACGATATTAGATCATTGATATACCTGTGGCTTATGTTTTACCTCCTAATTTTACAAAGATGTTATCGATGATGAAGTCCACAGTTTTCTGAGTTCAAATGAAATTAGCTTTCATTTTTCACAAATTGTCCTGAACCTCTAAAGAAAGATATGTAGGTATATCTTTCTTCACCGCGGTTTTTTATAAAGCAAATTCAAGCAAAACATTTGAGCTTGAGAGAATCAACATGGTATTACTTCCGCTTGTCTGAAAGACTTTTTGTGGAAATAGAGAAATTTCTCCATGATAGTACTAATGATTATGGTTAATCTTTAAAACAGGCATTTGGTGGTATATTTAAAAGCTATTTAAGCAGTATAAATGGAATATTTTGTGACAACCCAAGAAGTAGCGAATGAAGTGACCTAGTTGTACTTGTACCATATGTTCGCTTTAATTTTCGTGTGTACCATATGTTTTCTCCCTTTTGAGCGTATGTCACAGCTACCTGTGGTGAGGCAGACTTGGGCCGCATTTGCACAAACACCTGTTACCATGGTTATTTCACAGCAATTCATATGTCAGCATGCTTTCTAGTTGCCAATGGCATTAACTCAGATTACATATAGTCGCTGAATACACTTTTCGCACTGCTTAATGCAAGGTGATGTGTGAATCGTATATGTTGTGCTACAGTGGGGTAGCCTGGTGGTTAAAGCGTTCGCACGTCACGCGGAAGTCCCGGGTTCGATCCCAACGTTGGTAAAACGTGCGAAGCCCATTTCTGGTGTCCCCCATCGTGATATTGCTGGAATATCGCAAAAAGCGACATAAAACTAAACTAAATTGATTGGACAATCAATAAAATTAGACACTATCAATCCTGGATTGAAAATGCGTCTGATTTCATGACCGCTTCACTGCGCACGTATACATCTCTGCCGCACTGCTTCCGCTTGGCCACCAACTTGGCTAATATCAACACAACAGACGTGATGCCTGATCAAAATGCTTTTAAAACATTTATTAAACTAAACGAATACCATTATATCATATTTCCTCCACAATTATTAGTGAACCTGACTATCACATTACTTTGTATTATAAAAATTTAAAAAGTCAATTACAATGCACAGCCCCAAACAAAAACTAAACAATATCTAACGTATAAATCAGAAAGCCTTCGATCTGATATATATAAATATATATAACACCTGTTAATTCTGAAGGCGACATCTAGTGTTCCTATACCACATGTTGCCAATATTTAATTTTAAAAAACCCACACATTCGTTGTTTGTTTCATTGCACACCAGATGCGGCAGCTCCAGTGAAGTATACAGACATACATAAAGGTAAGTAAATGTTGTATTTCATAAAACTCTGTGAAGGTTTAGGAATGTTTTCGCTCTTTATCAGATCTCCCGTTGTCTCGATTAAAGAAGTTTTGTTGGTTTGTTGTTTTACGCCGCACTCAGCAATATTCCAGCTACATGGCGGCGGTCTGTAAATAATCGAGTCTGCGTTCAGTTTATTACCAGCATACAACTGTAAAATAGGACATAATCGGCGATATTTCCGGCATCAAATTTGCTAAAACAGATGTCAACTATATTTGATCAATATGGTCGTTCAGATCCACTTTTTATGTGTTCGACTCCGTGACAATAGCGAACTGACACGAAATATCAACGCACATGCCGGTGTTGAAAATGGGGTGTGTTTGACATTGTTTACATTTCGCCGATGTAACGACGATTTTCGTGTGTCGAAATTGCTAAAATAACGTTTTTGTACACTATAAGTAACGATGGGCGTTGTTCTGGTGACGTATACTTTTGCCACAGTATTAATGAAATTGCTATGAAAACAAATTGTAAACACTCGTTCTCAGATTTTTCTATAATTAATATATATCGTGTCGCCCAGCAGCGATGGCCGCCATTCGGCAGTGATTGCCGATGTCAGTGTCAGAGGGTTCGCGCAGCAGACCCCGAGAACCAGCTGGCTGGTGACACATCACTTCCAACTCATCTACGCCATACAACCCCAACATGTGACACAATAGTGTTACTATATAATACTGTAGAACCTTTAAACATTCGTCACCACTTGCCCCTTTCCGTAACCTCCAAGGAGACGCGTCCCCCTGCTTGTTATGTGCGAATATACGACAAATCAATCTGACCGCGCGTAATGACTGCGGTGCTTTGATAACAATAATCCCGAGTACTTAAATCGTTTATGGCATCATGTCATTGTTTCGAAAATCATGAAAAATATATATCTTCATATTGAAAGAACTAAGAACGTAGCTAACAGAACTGTGTTTCCTCGTTTTCATATTAAGAAGCAGCAGCTTTCGAGTGCTTCTGAGTGTGAGTACTATAAGTATGAGAGGGGCACGAGTCGCTATTCGGCTTGTCCCGGAAAAACACGAGTTGGTCACGAATGGCCTTTGTAATGATTGTACTAATTTGTAAACTTAGTGAATTTTAGAATACAGTTGTCCATTATGTCCCATTACTCAGTTGTTCTCTTACGTATTGATTTCCGATTAACTGTTAATTCTCGATGAAAACCACGAGGATGGGCGTGGTGCTGGTGGATCCCCGTGAACGTTCACCCGAAACGTGAACGGAAATATTGGTGAAATTAACTTCATGTGGGAAACTGCATGACACATTAGTTAAGTATCTCTATGAAGAAACTGCACTGAGATGTTATACAAGACGACAGCGAGTTGAGCTGGGAATGATCCAGGATCATTTAAGATATTTTATGTATGCTTCACCTTTTCGTGCTCAACAATTTCATTCACGATTTAAGTTATGTTGGCGGTTCAGACAAATATTATTTTCTGACAAATTGGAAATTAATCTTTAATTTAGGAATTAGAATAATTTTGCTATATCTTTTGTGTAAACCGTTCAGGTAAGTTAGCTCGTGTGTACGTGCATCTGTTCATGTGTGTATGTGTGCTATCTCAACCTGAAACCGGTAGTTGTCAAGGCAATTTCTTTGCAATATAAAGGTCAAGTCTTTTCGACACATGTTTGTGGCCCACGTAAGGGACGCAACTCTGAAGTGAATCCTAAGTAAGGGAGTGAACTCTGTAAGGGAGTGACTGCTGGTTTCTGTTGGCAAGGTCAGTACGTAGTGATCAGTCACTGGTGGT